ACATCCCTGGGGGGAGGGGAAGGGGGACAGCCTGCATTTTGAAAATCTCTGAATAGAAGCTGTTGCTAAATGAAAGGCAGAAATCAGGGGAAGGGGAGACCTGTGTGACCCCTCCCATCCCCCTTCTGGCGGGAGTGGCACTTTCATGGCCCCGCACTCACCTGCTGTCATTTTGCCATCGGTCCACACGAGGTTTTTGGCTTTAACCACAACAACCGTCAGCCTCTCTGCCGTGGGCAGGTAACTAAGAGACAGCAGAATCTCTCCCACCGAGTCAACTACCTGCAGGGCACATAAGGCACCAATTGTCACCCAACTGCAAACGTCGGCATGAACGACTCATGGAGAAGAGGGGAAGGAGAAATAACTATCCGGTGGTGGGGCAAGTTTTTCTCTGAATGTGGGCAGAAGCCAGGCAGGGCTATAGCCTACAGTGGTTGGTCTAGTGGTTAGACCTGGGTCTAATTCACTCCTCTACCACAAACTTTTTGTGTGACCATGGGCAACTCCCTGGCTGAGGGTGGCTGTGTCACTGTAGCAGCCTTATAGTGCAGAGGGGTGTGATCATGGGGGGGGGGGAAATGTAGCAACTTCACCTCCAAAGTGATGGTACTGAGGTTGACAAAAACAGTCTTTTATCAACCTATGCTGTGGCAGAGCTACAGTGCTCATGGGGGTAGACTTTTCACACCCCTGAGAGCCTTAGCTGTGTTAACCTAAACTCTAAGGCTATGTCTACACAGCTACATTATGTCAAAATAACTAGTGTTATTTTGAAATAACACAATCCACGTCTACACAGCTGGAAGTTATTTTGACATAATGTTGAAATACTGTCAAGTTGGAAGACTTCTTACTCCAATTCCTGTAACCCTCATTATACGAGGAGTAAGGGAAGTTGGGGGAAGAGTGCTCTATTTCAAAATAAGTGCTGTCTAGACAGCACCAAAACTTGAAATAAGCTATTTCAAAATAAGCTACGCAATGGACATAGCTCAATTTGCATAGCTTATTTCGAATTAACCCCTGCAGTGCAGACGCACCCTAAGTGTAGACCAGGTCTTCGTCTCTGTGTCTCAATTCTTGCAGATGGGGAAAATAGCACTACACTACCACAAAGGGGTGTGGCATGGAAGATTATGAGGGGCTGAGATATTATGGTTGGGAAGCCACATAAGGTATTACCACATATCTTGTGTGACATCCAATGCTCATCGATGGTGGCAGAAGCAGAGGGAAGCCCTGATCACTTCCCCTAGTCCCCTTGCCTTCCTGCCCATACTGGGAGAAACGGGGTCACTTGAGTAAATCAAAAGGCAGGGGGCTGGTGGACATGCTGCCTCACACCTACTGAGGATCTATCTGTGAATCTAGAGCCAGAAGAGGAAACACTATTTCACCTCAGCCTGTGGAGGATGAGACAAAAACTGCTGCTGCTTTTAACAACTCAAGGATGCTTAGTGAATTGAGCTGGGCCTGAGCCAACCCCAGAACCAACCACCCCAAATGCTTGGAAGATCTGGGTCTGGATTCAACTCTGGTGCTCCGGCTCCTCCCCGCGAGGAGCTATTTGAGCTCTGCAAGCTGAGATAAGGATGCTCATGCGTGGGGGGGTCACTGATGCCCTGCAGGGAGGAGGTGACTAATTATGCAATTGGTGAGGTGCATTATAGACTCATAGACTTTAAGGTCAGAAGGGACCATTATGATCATCTAGTCTGACCCCCTGCACAGTGCAGGCCACAAAATCTCACCCACCCCTCCTAGAATAATCCTCTCACCTAGATCTCAGATATTGAAGCCTTCAAATACTTTGAAGACCCCAAGATGCAGAGAATCCTC